TGACCTGTAAGCCAATCAGACATCAAAATAATAATATAAAAACTGCTGAATTCTTACATTTCTACAGAAAGTCGCGATGGGAAAAGACATTATTTATTTTCATGACATCAAAGAGGATGAAACGAAGACAGAGCAACCCACCACTTGTCTTCGTTTTGCTACAGGAATTTACAGTATTTTGAGCTTGGTAAGTTGAATGCTGAAACTTCATTGAAATTAAATGCTTATAGGTATTTGCAGTTTTTATTCTTGTTGCTGAACTCATATTTCTTTTTGCACTTCATAACTCTGGCAAATACGGAGGAAGCAGTTTCTTTATGGTGGTGATTACATGCCTTACTGCCTGCTTAGCAGTTGCATCTATTCTGGGAATTGTTGGAGCTATTTCAGCCAATCGAAAAATTCTCATTTGGGTAAGATTGATTCATTAATTCTCATGAACTTGCATTTAGTTCGTCTCTTTCTTAATCGCATTCTTAACAGCGGGAGCCGTGATAGGAATCTTTCTACTAGCTAAACCTGATGCTGTAAGTATTATGTTCACCTTTATTAATGGATGATTTGGTTAGGCCTTCCCATATGCGGAGCAATCTTTCCAAAACTACATAGAAATAGCTGATAAAGACGGTGACGATGCTTATACAATGTCCGTGATGTCTCCCATGAGAGACCTTCAGCACAAGGTAGGACGCTTACTTTTAATTTTACTATATTTCATATCAGTGGGAATGCTGTGGATTTAATAGCCCCAATGACTTCAAATATCCAAAAAAGACCTGTTGCTACCTAGGAAGGAAATGCAATGCCACTAAGTTAGAAGTGAGTAACGTTGGTTTGCATTTCGTCTCCAATGTTCATCACATACGCTAATTAAATTTCACATTTTTAGGGATGTAAACAACGGATTCTGAAAGTAGTGAAACTTTTAAGTCAAATTATTGGAACGATTGATCTAGCAATCCTGGTCACTCCAATAATTTTTGTGATCTGCACAATTATCCTGATTAAAAGGCTGAATGGTAAAATGCTTCATATTAACAACGGCGAGTCTACGCGTCCATATTACCCAAATTAAAAAAATGTAATGAAACCTCTAAAATGCTTTTCTCACATAAATACAATTCTATTCAATTTCTTATTATAATATGAATTATATACTACACAGTGTGTTTTATTATGTTACCTTAATTATAGTTCTATAGACTATGGTGTATTTTCTTCTTTATTTGCCAAAGTAAAAGGCCTCTTAGAAAGCCATTGTTTAATTTATATGCAAAAATTCAAACTGATATTTTGTGTCAAGAAAGGCCTTGAGCTCCAAATCCGCTTTGATTTCATTTTGCAATCATTGTAACAATTCTTATTTAATTATTTATATCAAATGACAGGCGTTTTGATAGTATTCATTAGCCCTATAGCTGACTTCAGGCTTCACAGATGGGAAGGAACATCGAAGGGAAACAGGTCGAAATGGGGGGGGGGGACAGAAGAGTGTTTCAAAGATGTTAAAGAGTCAGCCACAAAGTTGGAAAAAAGGTTAGATGAATACGGTTGAAATAGTCGAATATGACATACAGTGGAGTGATGGTAGTTTGGAGTCAGAAGTCAACTGCCGGTCAATAGACTTTTTTGTCGTATGAGTATACGTTGCCCAGGGTGCACCACGTAGTGGTAAGTCTATCGCACACCCCTCATTGTTACAATTCAGGATCGTATACAAAATACTAAAGCCGTCAGTGCTATCAAACATTACTGAAGTGGCCTTTAAGCGCCTGAAATTTGGCAGCTGAACAGAGGACATTTTTCGACATATCTCCACTAAGAACCAGAAGACCTAAACTTATTCACTTATTTGTACAAGATATGGCCATATTGTATGGTTGTGAAGGTCCTTTAAACGGAAGGTTAAGCACTTTTTTCTCACTACCAGATGATTCGAAAGATTTTAATTAGAAACGCGTTAAGACTGTGTGAACATGGATATTTGGGATAGAATGAAAAAAAAATTTGTTTTAACTACAACTCTAATTGATGTCAATCCATCGGTTTAAGTAAACAATTCCTTGTTCATAGTTGTCCAATTCTTCAAATATCATGTCAAATCTTGTACTGCCAACAAACTGTCATGATTACATAAAAATTGCGTATTTCAATTAAAGTGGTATTTCAGCTGTTAAGATTTGCCAAGAATTGGCTAATGCTGCATATAAAATTAACTTATTTGGCGCTATTCCACATTCCATGCCATTTATAGGCGGAATCTATTGAAAGCCGTTCTTTTCTATTGGGAGAATTGGTATGAATTTGATTTGTTAAAGTCAATTGAGGAAAAGGGTGCTAGCTGATTGTTCGTAAGGTTTGATATTGTCATTTAACTGATGCGCTTTTTGAATCTGTACGCTGAATAAATGAATTAAAGCCATTCTGACATGTGTCTTCCTTTTGGTCTTCTCATTCTCAAAAGTGACTCATTTATCAAATCCATGTTTTCTTAAATGCAGTTTGCTAATCGGATTCCCCTCGTAGCTTGTAGCTTATAGGCAAATAA